ATCATGTTGAGTATACCATCAGTAAGTCGTGTTTTTTTTTTTTAATTTCTGGCTGTGTTGGGTCTTCGTTGCTACACGTGGGCTTTTTCTAGTTGCGGTGAGCAGGGGCTACTCTTTGTTGCAGTGCGCAGACTTCTCATTGTGGTGGCTTCTCGTTGCGGAGCACGGGCCTCTAGGCACGCAGGCTTCGGTAGCTGTGGCACGCGGACTCCAGAGCACAGGCTCAGCAGTTGTGGTGCACGGGCTTAGTTGCTCCGCGGCATGTGGGATCTTCCCGGACCAGGGCTCGAACCCGTGTCCCCTGCCTTGGCAGGCGGATTCTTAACCACCGTGCCACCAGGGAAGTCCCCCATCAGTAAGTCTTTTATCCCTCCTGATTTCTAAGACATATTCATGTGCACTGCTGCCATTGTTATGTGCTTCTTCCATCTTTAATTTGCACAGATGTGGCTTAGGACCCTATTTACCCTGTTAGATCTTTTTCTCTCCTGCCTGTTGACCTTTTGGCACCTGGTCCTATCACTTAACATAGTTTTATCCCTCCTGTTTTCAACATCTCTCTATTTAATAAGTGTACCTTCACTCTCATTATTAATAAATCTGTTGAGCAGGACAGTTCCGAGGACAGAGCCCTGTGGCAGGCCACTACAGACCGCCCCCCCCCCCCCCCCCCCCCTACCCCACTCTTACTTTGAGCGGGGCATGGCCATTCAGCCATTGGTGAGCCAGCCCATTCAGCCTGTCATTTTCCATAGCTGTCCCTCAAAGGGGTCACAGCCAGCCTTGTGGAACTTCAGTGTCTGCAACCTGATTCGCAAACCCAGGGCCTTGGCAAGGAATACAGATGAATGAAGTGATAATTAATTCAGGCAATTAATAAATAATCCCTGACTCCTGGCCTGGGTTTCAAGAAGGCAGTGCAAATGATGTGGCTGGGGGTGAGCTGGAGCGGTAGTCAGTGCTCAGTTGTAGGCGAGGTTGCCAGGCAGGAGTGTGGACCTTCAAGAAAATCTGGGTTTCATGGGAGGTTTGATTTTTTTTTTAACATTGGCAAAACAAACATAAAAGCCAAACAAAACAGATTTGTTTTGTGGCAGATTTGACCTGCAGCCCTTGAGTTTGTGACCTCCTTATCTCCTGGTCCAGTGACCACACAACACAAAGCACTAAGATTAGTTGCGTGTTGATGGGTTGATGGCCTTCATTGAACCTGACTCCTTGAGGTCCCTTTAGTTACCCACTCAGGACTCTTACACGGACTGAACTCACCCAGTGTTCTGAAAGTTGGGGATGACACTTGCTCTTTTCTCACCTGTTGTTGGCACCTTCTCCTGATGGCAAGTTTCTTCCAGGATCACTGGCGGGTGTGAGGAATGTGTCAGTGGGATCCCTTGGCTGGGAAAACTGGAATTTAGAGTTTCTTAAAGTCTGCCACCCGGCTTGGTTTCACTTTCCTCTTATCTGTATCTACTCTTCCTTTTCTTTTCTCTTTGGTCTGAAGAGCATTTTCCTTCCCAGGGAATTCACAGGCACAAGAGCGGGCCTAGCCCTTCCTCGTTCTTCTTACTCACACACCAAAAATAACTTTTAAAAATCCTTTTAGGGCTTCCCTGGTGGCACAGTGGTTGAGAGTCCGCCTGCCGATGCAGGGGACACGGGTTCGTGCCCCGATTCGGGAAGATACCACATGCCGCGGAGCGGCTGGGCCCGTGAGCCGTGGCCGCTGAGCCTGGGCGTCCGGAGCCTGTGCTCCGTAACGGGAGAGGCCGCAACAGTGAGAGGCCCGCGTACCGCAGGAAAAAAAAAAAAAATCCTTTTAGTTGTCTTGACCATTTGGGGAAGCCTCAGCTCATGCAGCATTAGTCTTCCTGACACTGTTTTTGTAAATCCATGCTACTCTCTCGTGTTTCTTCTTGTTTATGCATGCGTCTTCTGTCTTTTATACATAAACATGTAAACATGTAAAATTTGATCACTTCAGATTTTGTAGCCTTTGCAGCCACGTTAGTTTAGGTTTCGAAGAAGGAAGGAAGGGAGAACTGGGTGATCAGCCACATTCCTGGAGGAAAGGTATTTGTTCCTAGTTTCTAGTTCTGAAAGATAGTAGTCTTCCACCAGCGTCAGGGAGAGGCTGGCGTATTCCATGGCCTGTGGGGCAGACGGACGGTGGACTGGGCGGGAGGCACAGAAGTCATTACGACTGGGCTCTTGTCTTGAAGGAACTACCATCTGGTGGGGGGAGGCAGCTGCTTGGCAGGTGATAAGTGCTAATAGAGGCATGTTTAAGGTGCCGTGGGAGCCTAGGGGAAGGAGCATCGGTCAATCTGCGAACCAGGTCAGAGAGGAGGTGACATTGAGCTGATGCTTGAGGGGATAAGCCAAAGAGACCTCACAGAAGCTGGGAAGTGCATTCCAGGCAGTGAGAACTGCATGTGCAAAGCTCAGAAAAGCATGTTGGAGAAGCATGAGGGTCCTTAGTGGCCAGAATTGGGGCAGTGATGAGAATGAGATGGGAACCAAAGGCTGGGGCCTCTGCTCATCTCCCAGAGGCCTGTCCCAAATCCCAGCTCCCCGCTACCGCTTTGGAGCCCATGATGGCCACGTTTGACAATCTGGGGACTAGTATCATTTAACCATCTGTTTAATGTACTGTATGTTCTACCTGAGGGACTAATTTCTTTTTTACAGGTCTTTTTTAAAAATTTATTTGTTTTGTTTATTTATTTTTGGCTGCGTTGAGTCTTTGTTGCTGCACGCGAGCTTTCTCTAGTTGTGGCCAGTGGGGGCTACTCTTCGTTGCGGTGCACGGGCTTCTCATCGCAGTGGCTTCTCTTGTTGCGGAGCGTGGGCTCTAGGCGCGCGGGCTTCAGTAGTTGTGGCTCGCAGGCTCTAGAGCGCAGGCTCAGTAGTTGTGGCGCATGGGCTTAGTTGCTCCGCTGCATGTGGGATCTTTCCGGACCAGGGATCGAACCCACGTCTGCTGCATTGGCAGGCGTATTCTTAACCACTGCGCCACCAGGGAAGTCCCCTAATTTCTCTTTTAACTTTTTATTTTGATAGAATTTTAAAAACTTATAGAAAAGGTTAAAGAAGAGTACCTGGGACTCCTGTATACCCAAATTGTTTACATTTTGCCGTATTTGCTTTATCATTTTCTCTATGTGAATATATTTTTATATATGCATATACTTTTTTTCTGAACCATTTGAGATTAAGCTGGAGATACCCTTTATCCTTAAATGCTTCAGTGTATGTGTTCTAAGGACAAGGACATTCTTTTACATAGCCATAGTATAGTCATCCATGTCCAGAACACAGAGATTGATATGATATGATCTTATCCACATCCATATTCAAATTTCATCAGTTGTCCCAATGATGTACTTTATAGCTATTTCCCCCCACTCCAAGATCTAACCCATGAGCATGCATTTTGCTGTCTCTTTAGTCTTGTGTCCGCTGGGAGAGATGTTTGTTTTTCTTGTCTTTGAAATTTTTGAGAGAACAATCCAGGTGTTTTCTAGCATACCCTTTAGTTTCAGTTTATCTGACGTTTCCTATGATTAGATTTAAGGTTATGTGTTCTGGCTGCACGTCTGTGTGAGTGATGTTATATTCTCCTTCTCAATGTTATCATATCAAGAGACACATGATGTTGGTTTGTTCCCAATATTGGTGATGATGATAACTTTGATCATTTGGTAAAGGTGGTGTCAGCCAGATTTATTTCTCCACTATAAAGTTGCTATTGTATTTAAGTTATTTTTGAAGAGATGTTTTTCGTGTTGTTTTTTTTTTGTTGTTGTTTTTTTGCGGTACGCGGACCTCTCACTGTTGTGGCCTCCCCCGTTGCGGAGCACAGGCTCCGGATGCGCAGGCTCAGCGGCCATGGCTCACGGGCCCAGCCGCTCCACGGCATGTGTGATCCTCCCGGACCGGGGCACGAACCCGTCCCCTGCATCGGCAGGCGGACTCTCAACCACTGTGCCACCAGGGAAGCCCTGAAGAGATGTTTTGAGGCCATGTATATATCCTGTGCTTCCTCAAGCTTTCGCCTGCTATTCGTAGCATCCACTGATGAGTTTCTAAATCCTTCTATATTTTTCATTGGCATTCTACTGTAAGGAAGAGCTTTCCTTTCCGGTGGGATGAATTCTTGCAAACTCAGATCTACCTCGTATTACCTTTTAACTTGCTGGACTGGACTCTGGGCCCACTTCCTCTTGTGCTCTCCCCCTTCAGTGTGCTTTGGGTGGACATTAGATGAATAATGGTGGTTCCTGGGAAGCTTGGATCTTCTTCCAAGCAGCACCTCACTTGTCATTGGCGTGACTGGCTTGGCGTGGGGCTAAACACACACTGTATTGGATGATCAGAGTTTCCTCAGGCCTAGGGCTGGGGTGGGAATGTTGTCTTGTCAGCTGTCTGAGTTCAGCCTGAGCTTAAGCGAGGACAGTAATGGGCAGAGAAAAGAACTGTGGGTCCCTTCCCCTGAGAAGCCATGACTGATTCCTTGTGCAGGCTGAATTCGTTAGTCAAAGCTGCTCCTTCCCCGCCCGTTCACACACAGACTTCGCGCTTCTGGTGCATTGTTACACGGATGCTTAGTTAGCTTTCTTTTCCTCCTGACAAAAAACAAAGGTTCTGGTGTCACTTTGGTCATCGTGAGTTAAAGACCTCTTTGTGTGTCCTCAACAAATGCCTGGTTTCAGGGGAGTTTCATCGGTGTGATCAATATGAGGCTCAAAAAGGGTCTGAGCAACATTCAGAATTCTGCGTTAGGATCTCTTAAAGACCCGCTCTCTGTTTCTGCAGTGCAGCCAGCTGAGAAATGAGGTGTGAGAAGATGAGCTGAGGTTCAAGCTCTATCAGAGACAGGGAGGGTTTGCAAGGAAGGCAGGGTTAGTTGTGCCTCTGAGTGGTGTGGTGCAGGACAGTGCTTTTCAAATACTGTGGCTCATCTTTTCCCCTTTTGTTCCTCCTCCTCTCTCTCTCTTCAGACAGGCTCAGAGCTCAGCCCAGTTGATGGACCTGTTCCAGGTCAGATGGACTCAGGGCCAGTGTACGATGGGGACTCACGGCAGCTAAGCGCCTCAGGGGCGCCAGTCAATGGTGCTAGAGAACCTGCTGGACCCAGTTTGCTGGGCACTGGGGGTCCTTGGCGAGCAGAGCAGAAGCCCAACTGGGACGTGACCCCAGGACCAGCTCATACTGCTCGCCTGGAAGATGCCCACGATCTGGTGGCCTTTTCGGCTGTGGCCGAAGCTGTGTCCTCGTATGGAGCCCTTAGCACCCGGCTCTATGAAACCTTCAACCGTGAGATGAGTCGCGAAGCTGGGAACAACAGCAGGGGACCCCGGTCAGGGCCCGAGAGCTGCTCTGCTGGCAGCGAAGACCTTGACACGCTGCAGACGGCCCTGGCCCTCGCTCGGCATGGCATGAAACCACCCAACTGCAACTGCGATGGCCCAGAATGCCCTGACTACCTCGAGTGGCTGGAGGGGAAGATCAAGTCTGTGGTTGTGGAGGGAGGGGAGGAACGGCCCAGGCTCCCAGGGACTCTGCCTGCTGGTGAGGCTGGTCTTCTGGCGCCAATCACCAGGCCACTCCTCAGCTCTGAGGTCCCTCATATACCTCCTCCTCTGGAGGGCCTGCCCCTGTCCCAGAGTGCCCTGAGTATCGCCAAGGAAAAAAACATCAGCCTGCAGACCGCCATTGCCATCGAGGCCCTCACACAACTGTCCTCTGCCCTCCCCCAACCTTCTCATGCCGCCTCCCAGGCTTCTTGCCCCCTTCCTGAGGCCTTGTCCCCTCCTGCCCCTTTCAGACCTCCCCAGTCCTACCTCCGGGCTCCGTCGTGGCCTGTGGTCCCTCCTGAAGAGCACCCATCCTTTGCTCCTGATAGCCCTGCCTTCCCTACAGCAACTCCTAGAACAGAGTTTCCTGAAGCCTGGGGCACTGACACCCCACCAGCAACTCCCCGGAGCTCTTGGCCCATGCCCCGCCCAAGCCCTGATCCCATGGCTGAACTGGAGCAGTTGTTGGGCAGCGCCAGTGATTACATCCAGTCAGTATTCAAGCGGCCCGAGGCCCTGCCCAGCAAGCCCAAGGTCAAGGTCGAGATACCCTCTTCCTCCCCATCCCCCATTCTCCAAAGGGAGGCCCCCACACCGTCCTCAGAGCCCGATTCCCACCAGAAGGCCCAGACGGCCCTGCAGCAGCACCTCCACCATAAGCGCAGTCTCTTCCTGGAACACGCCCACGATGCCTCCCTCCCCCCTCCCTCGGAGCCTCCTCCCGGCTGGTGGGCACCACTCAGCTCACCTGCCTCACAGCCACCCGACAGACCACCCAAGGAGAAGAAAAGGAAGCCCCTGGCACCAGCTGGAGGTCTCGTGGGAACAGACAAAGCTGGCCCCGGGATCAAGCCCAGTGTCCGGAAGTCCATTCACATCAAGAAGTCCAGGCCACGGGAAGCACAGCCCCTCTTCCCACCTCTGCGGCAAATCATCCTGGAAGGGCTGAGGTCCCCAGCCTCTGAGGACGTGCAGGCACATCCACCTGCCCCCGTTCCTGCCTCACAGGGCTCTGCTGTCCCCCTGCCCCCAGAACCTTCTCTTGCGCTATTTGCACCTAGTCCCTCCGGGGACAGCCTGCTGGCCCCTACTCAGGAAATGAGGTCTCCCAGCCCCATGGCAACCCTGCAGCCAGGCTCCGCTGGCCCTCTTCCCCCTGCCGATGACAAGCTGGAAGAGCTCATCCGGCAGTTTGAGGCTGAATTTGGGGATAACTTTGGGCTTCCTGGCCCCCAGTCTGTGCCCATTCAGGACCCCGAGAACCAGCCAACCTGTCTCCCAGCCCCCGAGAGCCCTTTTGCTACCCGCTCTCCCAAGCAAATCAAGATCGAATCTTCAGGGGCTGTGACTGTGCTCTCAACCACCTGCTTCCATTCAGAGGAGGGAGGCCAGGAGGCCACACCCACCAAGGCCGAGAACCCACTCACACCCACCCTCAGTGGCTTCCTGGAGTCACCTCTTAAGTACCTGGACACACCCACCAAGAGTCTGCTGGACACACCTGCCAAGAGAGCCCAGGCCGAGTTCCCCACCTGTGATTGCGTAGGTAAGTCCTCCCGGGCGTCAGGGAAGGGCAAGGGGAACGTGACCTGGCGGGCTTGGATTTCTAGGCACTGTCTTTTATCTGGAAAACATCCACCGTGTGCCAGACACCGCACCGGGGCCTGTGGACACAGAATTGAGCTCCAGGCTAGTGGAGAAGACATTGAAGGAAACTGATGGTGATGCCGTGTGGTGTATCGTGTGTCAGTGGAGGTGCTTTGTCGTACAGATGGAGGTGACGGCATCGTGGAAGCCTTCCTGTGGGAGGTGGTGCTTGTGCTGAGGCCGGTAGGGCTGTCGGGTAGGAAGAAGACATACTGAGAAGAGGGAGTAGCTTGGGCAACAGCTTGGTGGCTGTGACAGGGTAGTGCTTATTTAGAGGGCTCATGCTCTGGGGGAGCGAAAGGGGAGGAGTCTGTGTGGAGATGAGCAAAAGGTGGCTAGAGAGGCAGGCAGGGGCCGGATCTTGCGGGGCCCAGCGAGCCACGGTCGGGAGTTTGACTTGATCTCTGGTAATACATCGTGAGCTCCTGAGGGTTTTAAAGCAAGTGATGACCAGTCATCACCTTGTGCTTCTGAAAGACTATTCCGGCTTGTGGTGGGGAGGAAAGGCTGGCGGGGGAACCTGTAAGAAAGGCATTGTTGTGAGCCAGGCAAGAAATAACAAGGGCCTGTACTGAGAGAGTAGGTGGGCAGAGGCTGCAGAGTGAGTGGCCTCTGAGGAGGGGGGGCTATGGGGATGCAGACCGCTCAGGTCTCCGCCTTGGTGGTGGGGGGCACTGAGAACACGCGTGTGGAGAAGTGGTGAGTTCTGTTCGGACCGACTGAGTTTGAAGGGGCCGAGAGATTGGAGATCGGGCTCTGAGTTACGGGTTTGGATGAGGTTAGCATTCAGGCGATGGTTGAAGCCATGGTGTGGGTAAGGGCACTGAGGAATTGGGTCTGTCTCTGAGCCTTGTCTTCTGGAATAGAAGTAGGGCCCCGGGCTCTGAGGACTGTTCCTGGGGATGTCAGCTGTCTCCAGGGAGGTCGTGGATGCCTCAGGAAACTCCAGGTCCACTCTAAGCTGTGGTCCTCTGCTACTTACCAAGCATTCCGTAAAAGGTGCGTGTGTTTCAGATGTTGGCAAAAAACACGATGCTGATGACGAGCATGTTGAATTCTTGTGATTTTATGATACACAAATAGGTCTTACGAAAAGCCTGTCTTCTCTGCTTGTTTAAATACACTAATATCCGGTCAATTGTGTGATTTGTTGGGATGTTGTACCCCAGTTAGTAAGGAGAAGCTGGGCTGTCCCGTCCACTCCAGCTACCCCAGAATCCTGGGGTACAAGACAGTGGGGCCAGTGACAAAGAATCACTTGGGGGGCAAGGAAAAGTTGGCCCCAGTGCTTCTCTCTGGGGGGAACAGATGTGCAGCATCCTGCCAAAGGCTCACAGACGTGCTCTGAGATTGTGGTTTCCACCGAGGGCTGACCCTCTTCGTTACCGGGTTTAATAATGATGTGACTCTGAATGCCCCTCAATTCCCACCATTTGGGAGAGACTTGTTCTGATCATAGGAATTGGGGCCCCACTTTCTCTCTTTGTGTTTTTCTGTGTCTGGCCTATCTTCCTGTGTTTAGGGCCTCATTTGCTCTTTCTCCCCCTCCGGGGTAGGAAATATCCTTTTATAGGGCTGAGGACATAGTTGATGCATAATAAATATTTTAATCGTGGAATTCAATTATACAGATATTATGTTTGGTCAAGCTAGTTTTTTTATTTAATTTGAATTTTAATCCCATCACTTCCTCGTGCAGAAAATGAAAGTGCTAATAGTACCCTTTCACCAGGGTTCATCTGAGGATTAAATTAGTTAATATGTATAAAGCCCTTAGGACTGTGACTGGCATGTAGGAAGAACTGTAAGAGTGCTTAGCTGTTACCAAGCCTATCAAGTGCAAAAAAGCAAGAAAAAGGCGTAAAAACATATGTATTATGAAGGGAGAAAAGCGTTGGCTCTTACTTTATTCACCAGTCATTTATTGTTTACCTAGCCCAGTCCTAGTGACCAATAAGATAAAAATTAAGAGAAACGGTTCATCTTTGAAGGACTTTGTGGTTTGCTTGAAGAGACAGCACAAACGATGAAATATCCAGTCGCCCAGTCAGCAGGTATCTGCCAGGCGTCTGTGCTGTCATACGGAAGTGGTTGAACTGTCAGAGTGCTCTGAAATACCAGGCCTGGTTGTCATCATGGAGGGTAATGCTTTACTTAGGAAGCTGTTCAGAGCTGGGCTTTGAAAACTGTAATGAACACAGATGGGGAGAGGTGAGTAGGTAGCCACTCCAGACTGAGGAATGTATGAGCACCGTCTAGGAGCAGACATGAGCAAGCTCGCGTGAGGTAAGGCCACTAGCACACAGCGGACCCGAACCCTCAGTGTTCTCCTGAATTCCTTAGGCCAGAGGAGCCCCCTAGCAGAGGGGACCAGTCTCAGCTAGTGAGCAAAAGCACAGGCAGTAGACTGTCAGCATCAGAGAAACCCAGTGTGGCAATGCTGGCAACCTGTTGCCTTGGCAGGCAGGTGGATGGCAGGAACAGTGGGCAAGAGGTAAGGTGAGCCACCACCACCAATCATTTGTTGCTCCCATTTGTATTTTATTTATATGTGATACAGATAAAATATTTGTATGCTATCTAATGTAAACGAAGAATTAGAAGCAAACCCACCTAGTGCTGTTAAATGTTAAATTATGGGAAAACACTGAAGTGAAAACAGCAGACACAAAGAGTATTTAAATGATCAGCTCACCTAGGTTAAAAAAAAATAGAGAAAAGACTGGAAGGAAATATACCACCAGTGGTTGTATCACTGTTCGGACTGTGGGTGACTTTTCCCTCATTATGTTTTCTGAATTTTCTCTAATGAAATATGTATTTTATAATCAAGAAAAATTTTTGAAAGTACCTCCTCCTGGAAGTAGCACAGAAGAGTGAAGAGTGATAATCTTGTGGCAGGAGACCACTTAGGAAGCTACTGAGAATAGCAATAACAACCACAGCAATAGTAATAGAATATGAAACACTTGCCCTATTCCAGGCACTGTACCAAGTGCTTTGTAGTCACTACCTCATTTAATCCTCTGTAACATCTATATGAGGCGGGTACTGTCAGTAGTTCGATTTGAGTGATGAAGAAAGCAAAATTAGATTCAGTGATTTACCCAAGTCATAGAGCTAGCGGATGGTAGAAGTGAGATTTGAACCTAGGCAGCTGGACCACCATGTCATACTGTGATTAAAGTTGTTTAGCTGAGAAATGAGTCCTTCTGAAACAGTGGTATTAGGCATGAAGAGGGCCGAAGAAGAAAGCATTCACTTGGAAACAGTTTCTGGAGGTGTTGAGGTTGTGTTAGGGAAAGCCTCCACGTCTGGACAGGTGCTTTCATCAACTGGTTTGATGAACTTGTCTTTGTGAACTCAGGCTCGGGCGGGACAAGGGTTAGGAACGAAGCTTGTTCACTCTGGGATTAATGTTAGCTAGGAACCATCTCATATTCCAGAAACTCAGCCCCTCAACAGTGGTAGATAGAAAGGTGCAGATTGTAGGTCACTATAATGAAGAATTTTCCGTAGAAGCGACAGTGAAATTTGGAGATGTCGTTAAGCACTCGTAACAGGCGGTTTAAGTATGGAAACAACTTTATAAAAACATGGAAAGGTCTTATGGCAAAAGAAACCTAATATTCAAGCTCCATGGTGATTTTTGGCAAATAAGCAATTTTGGCCAATGTGGGCATCACCAGGTAACCAAAACCTGCCAAACACCAAGAGCATTGTCTTACACTTGTATGAAGATTACAGGTGTTCTGAAGGTATGGATGGGATCCATATCTACTTGTTCTCTGAATCTTGAAATACTAGAATTAAAGGTACCCCCTGAGGCTTCAAAGAAATAAATTTAAAAGACATGAAAGGAAATGCTGTACTCCAAAAGGTAGTATGATACGTACAGGCTTGAGAAAACATAGCACAAGTTGAAGTTCTGCATTGAATTATTGGGAGAAGAGAGTATTGATGCATTCCTAATATGTAGGGGCACACATTGGAGATTCCCCTAACCACCACTTAACCTTCCTATAACACTTGTGTCAGAGGCAGGATGATGAACTGCAATGCCTGTTGGCTACGCCCTTTATGTACTTTATCTATTCTCAGAAATGGGGACATTCACAGGGAGAGCCAGCTTAGGACAGGGAATGAGTCCAGATGATGTTTTAGTGGGAAGAGCATCCTTTGAGATCATCTGGTCATCATTTTATAGATAAGGAAACAGGTCTGTGTTAACTTTCAAGTCTTGTCCTGATGTCTCTGAGGAGCAGTCCACAGGTAGCTGGAGACATTTAACCATAGCAAAAGCAGTAAACTGAGACATAGATTTTAGAGGTTGTTTCCATAGGAATGCTGTATTTTTATCCAGTGGATCATCCTGCCCTAAAGAAGTAGCCAAAGGTGAATACAAGAAAAACATCTCCTTTGCCTGCCTGAAGCATGGTAAAAGTTTGGGTGAGGGAGGGATGTTGCCCAGCAGACGTGGCTGATAGCAGCACCCACTGGGTGACTTCAGTATGAGCCACAGTTCTGAACAGGGGGACACAGAGACTGACCTCCGTTTACAGTAAAGTCTGTTTCCTATAGTTTTTATGAGAATGTATTTTCCTCCTTTGTATGCAGTTTGAGATGAATAGGAACTTCATGTCTTTTAAATATTTTTTTGGCAATAGAGTATTTGTATACCAGTATAAAGTGGGGAATAAGACTCTGGGTAGGAGGGTATCAGAAAGAACTTCCTGGATGAAGCGATGTCTTATGCGAGTTTTAAAGGATAAGCAGAAGTTTAATAGATTAATAGGGAGAAAGTAGAGTGTTCTAGGCAAAGGGACATGAAGATTATAGAGATGAAAAATACATGAAAAAACACATGAAGATGTGTAGGCGAGAAAACATGGAGAAATA